TTGGCCCAAGCCACGCCCATGCATGGACATATGGCCCATGAGTGCTTTTGTGCAGTTGATTTGCTGCACAAATATCAACTGTTTGTTCTTTGCAGAATAAGGCTGTGGGCCCTGTGTTGACCTATAGGGAGGATTTAGGGTGGCGTCTGGCACACAGTAGGTGATCAGTAAGACCTGCTGACCTGCTGTTCTTGCCGTTATTATCCATGATGTCCTTCAGTGCTCAAAAAGACCTCCTCTACCTGACCCAGCAGGACGGGTCTCCTGGCAAACAGAGATCAAAAAATGAAAACGGGGAGGACCCACTGGCCGGGCTCTGGGCCCCCATACCTCAGCCTGGTCACCCTCACTCTAGTCCCATGAGGAACAGCCTTTATCCCCATTTTACAGAGGGATACACTGAGTCCTGGCAAGTCTAGGGTGGAGCTGGGATGTAAACCCTGGTCCACAGCAGAGCACGGTGGTGCAGCCTGTGAACCCGGCAATTCCGGAGGCCGAGGCAGAAGGATCACAAGTTGGAGGCCAGCCTCAGCAACTTAGTGCGACCCTGTCTCAAAATAAAAATATAAAAGACCAAATAAAAAAATAAATAGATAAAAAGGATCAAGGGCTGGGGTTGCAGCCCAGTGGCAGAGCACTTGGCTAGCACGTGTGAGGCCCTGGGTTCGACCCTCAGCACCACAGAAAACAAATAAAATAAAGGCACCGTGTCTCCTACGAAGAAAGGACCCAGGGTGCAGCTCAGGGAGGGGTAAGGTGCCCCTGGGGGGCTCGATCCCAAGGACAAGAAAAAAAATTGCTTGAGAGGGTCCTTCAATTGCTTGAGAGGCCCTGCCTCCGGGACTCTGGGGAGGTCGGCCTCGTCCTTGAGGCTGACTCTTTTCTCTCTGCACACAGCACCTTCCACATCCGCATCTGAGAGCACCGCCCAGAAGGATTGGCCAAGGAGGGCAGGGGAGCCCCCCACTGTGGACTCTGGCCTCCCCCCGGCGGGCGGCGGGCGCTGGGCGCTGGAAATAAACACGAGGCACTGCGTCACTCTTGCTGGGGGACACACTTTCCATCCTCAACCCGGCAGGTGGGAGGGACAGGCTTGGAATCTTGTCTCTACCCTGTGCTGGGTGATCTTGGGTGTGGCTCGCCCTCTCTGGGCCACACGTCTCCTGTTTGCTCAAGGGATGAGCTGGCTTCTAGATCTCTCCACGGTGAAGGCCGGGAGGGCGCGTTGTGGGTCTCCACAGGCAAAACCGAGGCAGGGAGAGGAGGCGCACCCCATCCCACCCTGGTCCTCGAGCAGAATCCACCCCAGGCGGCTCAGTCATCTGTCCCTGTACCCCAGGTCCCGTCGAAGGGACTGAGACTCGGAGGACTCATCAGCACAGCCGTGCGGACGCCTCTGAGGGGGAGGGATTAGGAGTGGCATTCGCTGAGGTGGGCAAGGTACGCCACAGTTTGCATGTGGAGGAAGACCAAGGCACGCAGTGAGTCACTTGCAGTGCTGGCTCGCGCCCAGGAGCGCCTCACTCCACACCTCCTTATCTTGAGAACTCAGGAGCATCACGCCACCCCACCTTGGTTGCCCCAGGACCTTCTTCTGTGGCCCCGGTCTATCCAAGGGGCTTGCCCCTAACACCAGGTCAGGAACCATCCCGGACACCTCCACTGTGCCTCCTTTCTAGAGAGCTTACCCCGACTTTGACCCCCTAAAGATCAAGCACCCCTGTGCCAATACTCCAGGTTTTGTCCACATCTTGCAGTTCCTCCTGAGGAGTGGCAGTTCTTCCCATTTTCCAGGCCCAGAG